AAAATCGTTATTTTGGACAAACCTTTACAATTTGGAGATACGATAGTTGATTTGTGCCTTTTGTTTTAAGTTTTAACTGTTACATACATTCAAAAAAAAATACATTCTAATTTATATATAATATAATAATAATATAAAAACATATTATATGTTTTAGTCAAAATATGCTTCCAAAGTAAAAGAGCTTGAAGCAGATTTAAAAATTGAAAAATCTTCTAATAAACGTAAAAATAATGAGTTTGATTGTGGCCAAAGTGCAAAAGTGCAACAAACAATATCGGATGCATTTTCAAGAGCCCAGCCAGTTAGTCAAGGTTTGTAGAAACCTCATATTTATAAATTATTTCTTTGAAATTAATCTTTTTTTATTTTATTAGAAAATTTAAATTCTATGATAACTGAATTTGTTATTATGGGTAACCATGCATTTAATATTGTCGAAGAGGAAAAATTCAAAATTATCATTCAGAAAGGTTTTCCAAATCGGCAATGTCTATCTAGAAAAACTTTAATGAGTACAATTTCAACTACTGCGGACAATTTGAAAGCTAATCTTAAAGCACAATTGTCATCCACTGATGTTAAATATGTCTGTGCTACAGCGGATTGCTGGTCAGTTTTTAAGAGGTTTGTAAATAATAACTGTAAAAAATTAATATTATTTGTAAAACAATGATTTAAATGTTTAAATTAAAAATGTAATATAAGTATAACCGGAAAATTATAATTTCTGTTTCAGAAGTTATATTGGTATAACAGTACATTGGTATGACCCGGAAAGTTTTCAGAGATTATCTGCTGCGCTTGCTTGTCGCCGCATCAAAGGTAGACATACATTTGATGTCTTGGCTAAAATAATGCATGATGTGATTTATGAATATGGCATTTTTAACAAAATTATAAAAATAGTTACTGATAATGGTTCAATTTTCATCAAAGCTTTTCGGTAAGAAATAATAACTTATTATTCTTAAACTGATTATGTCTTTTACAAATACAATAAGAGCTTGTAACTGCTAACAAAGTATTATTACCTACTAATTAATATCAAATTTGTTTAGTGTTTATTCAGAATCTGAAAATGCAGATGAAAATATGGAGATGGAAGAGGAGCAAGAAGTAGAGTTAATTGCAATTAGTGATATTTTAAATGAGCAAACTTCATTCGATGCAGATTCTCCATATTCTCTTCCTCCACATCATCGCTGTGCCAGCCACACACTCAATTTAGTAGCCACTAAAGATTCAGAAAAAGCATTATCTGATCCATTATATAAAAAACAACTGAGATCAACATTTGCGGAAATGAGTGCACTTTGGAATAAGCAAGAAAGGAAAAGCTTAATTGCCGATACCATACATGATGAATTAAATATTTATATTATTGTACCTAACGCCACTCGATGGAATTCTACGTTTCAAGCAGTAAAATGTCTAAAAGATCAACTCATAAAATCTGAAAATGAAGTCCAGCGCATTTGTGATAAAGCAGGTTTACCAAGATTTGATAAAAAAGATCAAGCTTTTATGATTGATTATTGCAAGGTAATTTTTTATTCAGTATAAAAAATAGTTAAGAGGACATTGTACCTCTGTACCTCTATGATGTATTAAAGTCATAAAATATATTCAATTGATGTATATAAAATCTTTTTAATAATTAGTTAGGTACTTAAGTACTACTTACTACAAATTTTTGTATTTGAAATTTAAATTAATCTGTTATATTATTTCAGGTAATGCAGCCATTGGCCCAGGCTTTAGATTTACTTCAAGGAGATAAATTTGTGGCTATGGGTTATCTCATTCCAACAATAAAATGGCTTAAAAAACAACTTAAAGAACTGCTTATAACAGTAACTATTTGCAAAAGTCTTGCAAATGCATGTTTAGATGGTGTCTGTTCTAGGTTTGACCTAATGTTGCTTGACAAATTTAATTTTTTAGCTACTGTTTCTCATCCAAAGTTTAAGTTCAAAGGCATGTCAATAATGGAAAAAGAAGAAGCCACTGACATCCTTCAAAGTGAAATAGAATATTTTAAACCTGTAAATGATAATAGTTTAGAGCAAAATCAACTTGAGGAAGTCAATGATAACATTATTTTTGATGAAGATATAGATATAGAGCATTCTAATGCTGAACTTCAACGGTTTTTATTTACTCCTTTTAATGGTGATTTAACTATTTTAAAAAACATGCCAATAATGAGATTAATTTTTTTGAAGTATAATACTGCTTTACCCTCAAGTGCTTCTGTTGAACGTTTGTTTAGCATTGCAGGAGATATATGCACTAAAAAGCGATCAAAATTTAGTAACTATAATTTTGAAAACGCATTGTTGTTTAAAATAAATTTGAAAAATAAAGATTAAATATTTAATGTGCAGCAAAATTAGTATTAATTGTTAATAATTTCATATTGTTGATTGTCATTATATAGTTTGTGTATTGTCATATAGACAAAATAGTTATTAAGCTCCAGTGATATGAAAAAAAAAAGTAACTTCTATTGTAATTGAGTTACTTTTAAAACTCAAAAGTTATGTAACTGACAAAATGAAAAAAAAGGTAACTTAAAAATAATTTAGTTACAATTTTGATTAGTAATTAGTAATGTAATTTAATTACCCTAAATAAGTAACTTCCCCAACACTGCCGTATGGTTAGTTCCCAACAAATTAAAACTTAAATGACTTTAAATGACCAATAAACATAATTAGTTAGTTAGGAATAACATTTATTATTCACATCATCATACCTAGTATAACTACTAATTATTGTTCATTTAATAACTTAATACATAATAAAGAGTAAAATGTATTTATTCAATGATGATTTTTAGGACCATATACATTTGATTAGTATAGTCATATCAATAAATATTGGCGAATAGGTAGTGATAAAGTATATCAAGTTTAAATTAAAAAACAATCGTTGTTAATTTGAAAAAAGCTGTTTATTATATAATAAAACTTATTACCTAAAATGAAAAAAAAAAATATAATTACGTGAATACAGATTAAAAATAAAAATAAAATTATAATAATATAGTAGTATTATTTAAATATAAAAAAGATATAAATATATAATAGTATGAAAACTAAATCATAAAATACAAATTATAATAAAAGTAAAAGTGATATTGATATTAGTATGAAAAAAATACAAATAATAACACATGTATATTAGAAATATTAGAACAACTGTAAGATAGTCAAAAATAACTACCAAATGAGCAATACAAATAAACCAAAACAAAACCAATGGTCATTATTCACATAATCTTAATTCATATTATTTAAGATGTATCCACCAACATTTAATAAAATACACTTATTTTTATGAAGATTGTGTGAATAAAAGGCATATTAAACATTATAAGCCTTAAACAAAATATTATAGCGAAGTTATAACCATTGTCATGATCTAGATTGTAGTAGATAACTCCAATTCATACTTTTTTCAATAATAAGTTTGGTTGGAAAGTCATTTGATCTTAAATTATAATTTAACAACTATCTGATCTGGTTTTAATTTATTTGGATAAAGTCCATAATTATTTTTGAAGATTCTATTATAAAGTTTTATTTATTTTTATTTTAAGAATTAATAAGAATAATATATATATAATTACAATTTTAATATTTTTTTAAATCAAGTTCTCTTAGGGTATTTTACAACTATATTAAACAATTTAAAATTAATTCAAAATTCTGAACTAATCATTTTTATATTGTGAATTTCATTTATTTTGGATCTTCCATCGACACACATAATTTTTTATTAAAATGCAAAAGAATTTAATACAATATTTCTGACATGAGCAAGTAATTCGTAGAAAAATTGAACCTGAAATGTATTTAATTATCTACCACAATCAATATTTAATAGAAATATTGAATATATAATTTTAAAAACATAAGAATAAATATCTTTTAAATAAAAAAAAATTATTCTTAATTATTTTAGATTAATATCTAACATATTTATTTGTTTTTAAATTATTAGTATGTTCATATGATATTATATATATTAGTTTCTAGTGTTTTACACTAAATCTAACCTACTCTTACTATGTCCTTATCTATAATTAATAATAATATTTACCGTCATTGTACTCATTCCCAATGATAATAATATTACATCAATAATGATTTTATAGTAAAAATGAATGAAAAATATAATGTATCCTTTTATATTACAAATCTAATTCATATTTTAAAACTTAAAAATAATCAAAATTCGAAAACAATCATTTGAATATTGAGAACATCATGTATTTTAGATCTTCAATCGACACACATAATGTTATATATAAATTTTAAAAAATATACCTAATATTTACACCTTACAACATTAGCAGGTAATTCGTAGAAAAATTGAACCTGAAATGTATTTTAATAACCACAATTTATACTTTATAGAAATACTGAATATTTCATTTTAAAAACTTAAGAATAAATACCTATCTTTTAAATTAAAAAAAATTATGCTTAATTATTTTAGACTATCTAACATATTTATGTTTTTTACATTATAAGTATATTCATGTTATACACCAAATCAAACCTACTATAACTATGAAACTAACTATAATTAATAATAATATTTCCATCATAGTACACATTCCCAATGACGAAACAATAAAATTATAACTAAAACTAATAATAATATGTCCGTCATTGTACACATTCCCAGTGACGAATCAATAAAATAATAACTAAAACTAATAATAATACTTACCATCATTGAACACATTCCCAATGACGAATAAAAATTAATATTATAATACAAATCTATGAAAAAAAAATTATAATTCTATACATTTTAGACTGTATAATCTATTCAAAACGAAACCAGTACCGGGAGTACAACTTGTACGCAGAAGTGTGGTTTCGGAAATGGAACTTTAGAACTTTGGTCTCATAATTTAATTTTTTGGGCAGGTCGATTCACGACATCGTGATTGCGGCGAAGAAATTAGGTACTATTTGATGCGGTTGGTACTGATTTCATTTTGAATAAAATATAGTCGGTAAGCCAATCAAACATTTGTTCAAAACATTAGGTATCATAGTGTCTTGGAAAAACTGTTATTTCATCGCTTATGAGTATAGATATATGTTAAGGGACTGAATTAACTCCATCTTTCCCTTGAGCCAGGCTTAGATTAGGCATTAACCTTGTTTGAGATTTTACTGATATTATTATAAATGATTGTACATATATTTTGTTTGAGTTTGATCAGCTAATTTAATTAAAAAAGCGAGGGGCTACGTTATGCAGTGGCCCAGCAAACAGAATAACCGCTAGAAGTATGAAGATTCTCTTGTCAACTACGATGCGGATGCTATTGTTGGTTTTAGGAGGTGGATTGGCTGACTGTGTACGACGAGTTTGTTCGTTCTGACGTGATGTAAATGTAGCTCCTGTGAAAATATAACAAGGCTTATAATAAAAAAATATTCTGAGTATGTAAAATTAACAGTCGGATAATAAAAACATCATTATATAAAATATTATTAAAACTAACATCAATGTTCACACAAACTAGATATTTATTAGGATGTCAATTAGACTGCAAATAAAACTAGTTTGATCTTCACTTTATTGTCAAAGTATTATAATGTAATTTAAGTATTTCCAACCAAATGTTAAAATTTAATACTAACCATTACCGCCCGTGTGTCTGCCTGTGAGGATAGGCATCATAGTGGTTGGACCTTGAGCGACAACGGGAATGGGGGGCGCAGCGTACCACGCTCCTCCTCCGTTTTCAGTACCGGGAATGGATGGAGAAATTGGCTGGGGTTTAAGGGAGTACCATGAGCCACTAGCAGTGTCCTGTGCTGGTTGTGCATATCCTTTACATGCGCCTGAAAACGGTGTACATTTTTTGTCTTCTTGAGTTTCAGTAGGAGTATCTATAACTGCAGTATTATAATACGCAGAAGTTGATCGAGCACAAGAAAACGGAGGGAACGATTTATAATTATTTTCCAAGTGGGAAATTAGTAAATTTAAATGGAAGGGTTGAGGATTATGACATTAGAACATGGATATTATGTATATTATATGTATACTCATTTCATAATACACTAATTGAAAATCTTAGATAGGAAATTAAAATTACTTTATTGTTATTAATTATTACCTTGTTTCTTAATTTTGGTTCCGACTAACTTCATGCCAGAGCGGTATGGATCAGATAGCCGACTACACTTAGTATTTGTTCCTGCTTCCGTTAACAATATTGTGGTAGTAGTTTCAGGATTAAGACCTTCGTCGTTGGGTATTGGAGTTCCAACGAAACATTCATACTGAGCCCCTTCTTTGGTGATTGGATTTAAACGCTTTAAATACGTATATGTCAACATAACTGATTTTTCACCAGCCACCGGGCTGATCTGTTGCTGTGGTTCGGTCCATTGGCCGAGACATTGGTACTCTCGTTCTGCATAGATAACATTTAATCAATTAGCACAAATGTATAACACTATGTGATTATATGATTATAACATTACGTGTATAAATATTTGTTATTAATAAATAGTGTATTGTTTGTAGATCTAAACCTAACATAAAAACTAACCTATTAAGTAAATGCATAATGCAAAAGTACTCAAAGTGAAATACTAAGATACATTTTTAATTTAACGATATGGTTTTCTATGAAAATTTTTATCTAAGATTTAAAAACCAACCATGGTTCTATTTTAAATCAATCCATTAACTTAATAGGTTTAAACAATATAATGGTGTCTGTGGTGATAAATATTTTGCTTACAAAAGAAACACATATAATAGCGATGGTGTAGTGCGAGAAGGTGGTTCACAGAGGATAAAAAGACATACCCAAATGTGAAGACTAGACTATAATTGTGAAGTAATCAAACACAAGTGACTGCAGTGTTGGTAGTGGTGATTCAAGTGCTGATGATTTTCGAGATGAATGGCTCGTTGTCAATTATGGTTAGGTAGGCATACCTTGATAATATCGGCTCTCAGACTTAGGCCGCAATTGGTAAGGCTGAGAAGAGGTCTTGGTAGTCAGTGTTGGCAGGTAATAGTGATTTGAAGGTTTCTGTGATCGACGCGGATGTAGTGGCAATGGGGTTGGCATCGAAACTGTAACGGCACCTTGCTCCGCATGCAGTGGTGGCAGTGGTACGGGTGGCAGTGACAAAATTCCACTCAGGCCCCGATTGTTTTGTTGCTGACGTTTCTGCTGCTGCAATTGTTGCTGTTGTTGTTGTTGTTCTTCTTGCCATCGTTGCTGCTGTTGCTGGTACCACCAGTGCTGTTGTGCTGCTGTCGTCCAACCACCATTACTACTACTAATACTAGAAGAGCTGTTCCAAGGAGCTAGTGCGTCTCTGTTGTTATCGCCTCCTCCACCACTACTTATGTACAATGGTCGGTCGCCGCGAATGTTCCAACTACCACTGGTTGGATGTTGAAGCATAAGTGAAGAGTTACGTGGTGGCTGTGGCATTTGTTGATGTCGATTATTGTTGTGTTGATGGTTATGGTAATTTTGCTGTTGCTGATGATAGTAATAGTCACCTGTCCTGTGTCCTCCACTATCTATTGTCTGATGCTGATAACCATTACTATAGTCCTTGGCGGTAATAGGATGTTGTTGTGGTAACCAATACGATTGTGTCTGTTGCTGTGGCCAATGTTGTTGATGAAGATAGTAGTAATTATTATCCGTACTGGTGCTGTCAGGTGGTGGTGGGGGGTAATGTTGTTGCCGTCCTCGGTAATAATAATCGTCATTATTTGGTTGTAGGTGTGATTGCTGCCACTGTTGCTGTTGGCGGTAGTGATGGTCGGTAACTGGGTGGAAGGATGAGGTATCAAGAACAGCAGCCGTGGAAGTAGGAGTAGTAGCAGTGGTAGACGATTTTGAGGGTGACGGTAGTTGCTGTTCGGGAGAATTCGTCTCATGTAGCGAGAATAATGGCAATGTCGATGATGTAGCTGTTGAGAAGGGAGTAGCAGTGGAAGTTGTAAAATTTGTAGGGGCTATAGTAGTAATGTCTATGAACTGTTGAACTCCCGTAGATGACTGATTTATAGCAATAGAAAAGGTGGCTGTCGACCCAGTTGTTTGGTGGTCGGTTATGTTGTCTGTCACGACTGTTGAAGTGTTGTGACTACTAAATGGTAAAATAGGCATGTTGGATGACGTAGATGTAACAGGTGAGGCGACAGTCGATGTATCTGTTGGAGCTGAGTGGCGTTTATTCCTCCGCCAACTTCCTCCGACAATGTGCCCTCTGGACGCTACCAATAGTTATCATCATAAATGCGTGTAAATAAGAAACACACAAACGAGAAACAAATAATGACAAAATAATATACCTAATAACCTATATTTATAAAAATGTAACTAACTTTTATAACATGTTATAATCTCGATCTAATATGAAGTGATATTATGTGTGCGTGTGTGTTTCTATTTTATATGCACCAGAGTTTGACGTGATGGCCACGATGACTACCAACAGTACCGGGGACGGCCAGAGGAATAAGAACTAAAAAGAATTATCAATATGAGTATCGTTGGAATTACGGAGAGGGATCGAGAAGCCAATAGTCAACAGTGCACTCATTAATTGGTAATGAACACATCTTTCGACGCGAACCCCGCACGCCGTGCGTATAAACACGTTGGTGATGGAACGCGTGGCGTGAGGCTCGTCTGGCATCACATTTTTACATTGTAAGGGATGTTATTGTGGTGAGCAAGAAGTAGAGATGCCAGTAGTCGTAGTTTGATGATTCTCGGTAGCATCTGATTGGCGATGGCGCATGGATTGGCCGGCGGACGGGGGCCGGCAGTCGGAATAGCGCCACAACCTGCCACTGCAAAGGCGGTGGCAAGGTAGCGTATGGTGTAACGGTCCCACCGCGTCTGTGCTCAGCCAACGTCGCTGGCGTCTAATAGCTTAAGAGTGTTTTTTGTGTATTATAACCCTTTTTGTAGAATTAATATTTTGTTTTTGTGTCTGTACATTTTGTTTTCTTGTTTTGTCTGATCACGCTAACATACATCAGCCACCATCCAGAGTGTAATGAACAACATTTTTGTACGCTCTGAGAACGGCAGCTTATATTTTTATCCACGTGTGCGTGCATGCAAATTTCCTTTCAGCAACAGGTACAGTCGGCTAGATGCTCTAGACACCACCATGTTTGTAACATACGCCTTAGTTTGTGGCAGCGTTTAACAATTTTCAAGCACAACGCTAAAAAGCAAAGGCCCAGTCAAAGTTTTGACCCTTCGAATGGATTCTCTTCAATGGAAGTGTGTTTCGGAAGATATTACACGAAAATATCGGATTATGGAGAAAACAAAATATTTTTTAAAAATAATACTTATAATTATTTTTCAAAAGCACTTTAAAGAAAAATATACTCAAGTTTTATTTGACAATTTCATGTGTAGAATTCATCACACATTGTATGGAATGCAAAATACTGAAAGTACGTATACATATTAATTATTTCCTTATTTTCCTCAATACGTTAGTCACATAGGTAGATTATTATTACAATCAGAGTTCTTTTAGGAATTGAATTTCTACTAGATCATGTGTAGATTATAGCTTACTAGCTACACATTTGGTTTATCTATATATTAAGCATAAAATAAAAGAGTATATCTTATATTATGACATCTTTTTTTCTTGTGATGCATTCTTAGATTTTCTGTTATATTTTACATAGTTAGGTATACTTATAAAATACGAAAATCAATTTTCAATTTTAGTATTTAGTTTAACTCATTAACATATTTAAGATTTCTCTGCTGTACAGTAGGTATCTTGAAAGATAATTGTAACGAATGTATTCAATTTAAATTAAATTACATGAGATCACTGTGTATGAAAAACGATTCTGAGCAAAGCGAAAATGGCCTATCAGCCTAAGTATATTTTATTATATTACTGCTATTTAAAAAATTTATTTTACTATTAGACGTTAGTAATAGAAACTAATATTACAGTAAAAAAATATTTGAACACATTTTTCTCTAAAAATATTCCTTTTAAAACGTCATTGAGAATATAAAACAATAAAATTAATTTTAAAAAGTTTCAAGCACCTATGAATAATATTCTTAAATTATACCAGAATACCTAAAATAATAATTCTTTGATTAAATATTATATTTCATCATAATTTTAACTTAAAAACATATCAAAAAAAACTCGATCACAAATCCGAAATTTTTTTAGAATTTTGATATCTATTCTGTGCACTGTTGCTACTTATAAGAAATATTGTTATACATTTTCAATCCTTTTTAAACAATGAAAACATTTTTATTGTCATTTAAAATAAAATAAATGAAGATATTGAAAAATGAAAATGGCTATAAATTGCTCAAAACTAATATTTTAGTTTTAAATAACTATGTTCATCATTAATATTTAAAAATATATTTTTTTAATTATGTTTTGTATAGTAAATAATAATGTAAGCATTTATTGGACAATGGACATTTTAAGTTCCGATGGTTATTCGCTTTTAAATTAAAAATATAAGAAAATCGTTCGATGATGAGAATTCGTTAATTTAAGGGAAAAATATCGTTTATCTCAAAGCAAATGCTCATATAAAATTTATTTGATCTTCCAATATTTTTTTTCTCAAGAGTGAAAAACTTATGAGGTACTTCGAAAAAATAGAAAAAAATATGAATACTATCTAACTCAAATAATTTGCAATATTTTTTTTGATTTCGACGAATTTAGCTAGACCTTTTTTTTAAATATTCATAGACAATAACTTATGAGGAACATTGTACTAAATGTTCAAATTCTTATGACCAACCAAAAATATTTGTATCGTTATAATTAAACTATTTTAAAAATTTCATACGGCTACATAGCTCAAAAAAATCAAAATATTTTGAATATGAACATTTGGTGAAACTTTCAGTGATACTTATAGCCAAACAAAGTAGATTTTGTCAAAAACCGGAAACTCGTTAAAATTCCAATTTTTGCCAACGCTTTTTAAAACTTAAGGATTTTTAATTTTAACTTCTCAAAACTATATATCAAAAATATTCACTTCCCAACCACAAAAGATATAAAAATAGAAAATCAAAGCATTATTTCGTCTGATTTTCGTGTAAACTTACACAAAAAAATCTTCATTGTAAAACCAATGCATAAACATTCAACGCTACGCTCAGAATCTAAAATATTTAAGTTTTTTATAACTACAGTTCATTTTGAAATTTGATGATAGTACTTTGAATAGTGTAATACATTTTTAATTTGTAAACAAGATATTTTTTTTTTTAGAAAATCGTTTCGTTACTACTTGGGATATACATGATAATCACACAAGTTTTACTATATTGGCTTAACTTTGAATACTGATGACTAATAATTACCACTACAAAATAAGTACTTATAATAATAATAAACTGACCTTCAAAGATTGTTTGTGATGCAACCACTGTTTGAGCAGTCCCAGTTGAGGAGGAGTCTTGTTCAACGCATTCAGACACAGTATACTTCATCTGGTCAGTTGGTCCCATTTGTCCGGTCGTGCAGTCATCGGCAGAAGATACTAACCTGGCACAAAGTCTCAATGGTGTGGGCTGTGCCTTATTTGCGGATACCGTTGAAGGCGGTGGTGGAGCTGGGACAACGCCGTAGAACTCTATACCCGGGGGCACTGGACACCCGACAGGTACGCGTTTTTTCTCATCGGTTCCTGCGAATTTTAGATCATTTAAGAAATAATTCAACAGTAATCATCCTTAAGTAAGTTTAAACTATAAGATATGGTCTTAAATATTTACTATAATACGTTAATGATAATGGACATAATCTTTTTAAACAATTATAAGGTTTAAAGTATTTAAATTAAGTTGAAAATTAAGAGTGAAGAATGTGGCGAAACGGAACAAATTTTTTTCAAATCACGGTGTATCCACTTTAAGCACATTTACGCCACTCATAATACCAGTGACTCTATAGCTACTTATTACAGTACTTGTAAAGTAAAAATAGAATTTTGAAAAAAATAATGGATTCAGAAATAGGAAAAATTTTAAATTTCTTGTATTCTGACCCAAACCGGCCAAACCTTTTACCAAAAATAGATTTTCACCCAACACTTTCTTCTAATATTAACTAGGTATTAAAAACCAACTACTTAGTTTACGTGACTTAAATTGCCATTAAGTATACTCACGTGTTTCGGTTATCCACCAAGGCCGGCGAGGGCGAAGCTTTTTCTCATTTCGGACACCAGAGTCCTTACCAATTGCACTGTTTTCGCTGCACAATTGTCTTGCGAAGTTCTGCATACTTTGATTTTTTAATGGCATTCCTGTTCCTAAACATTTTAAAATAAAATTTATGTAAATTATTTTTCAACGATTATAATTTATTTGTTGAAATTTATGTAATATAATCAATGTCTTATAAACGATAAATGCTCACCTATTATGGAAAATTCTAAAATGTTTGGTCCTCTAGGCACTAACCACAAGCACCCATATGTCTTTTCTGAATCATTTTCGTTACTATTAAAACAATATAATATGTACTCTTATTATATTATATTCATCATAGTTTATGAATCAGTTATTGAAATAATGTCTTAAAATTTTAACTCACTGTTGATCATTGCCAGGCAATCCATTGTTTTCCACAATACGTCCACCATAAGTAAGGAACTTGGCCCCTCTTTGAGGCTGTTGAAAATGTTTTTCGTCATCGTCAACTTGCATTTCACAACTCCATGAAAATGTTGTCGTTGCACTCTGTTGTTGATTTTGCTGTGTAGAACTGCGTCTCATCCGTTGATTTAAACTTGGGGTATTTTCCTGGTGTGTACGGTCATTTAAAGAGTTAGAATGGACAGCTTGAAAGTGACTAACCACCGTGGCTGACTCTGGGGCATCCCGTGACTGTTTCTGTTCGTACGTAGTACGGCGGGATTGTTGGGGTTTTATTTGGTAACCAATTGGCAATGTAAGGGCACGGTAGGCTATCGGGTCGTCAGCAGTGCCTTCGGGATGCAGAGGATCAAAATCATACTCTATGCCATCAAATGTTTGGTCGAAATCTTTCATAACGATATCTGGATGATTTTGGCCAGGATAGGCAGTGAAAGCGACTTCAGCTTCCTTCTGACGATACGCACGTTCCATACTCCGCCAATTTATTAATGCTTGTTTGTATGGGATTCCTGCCATTTCGGCGAACTTAAGGTACTTCACCGGAGATGGTACTGGTTTGTCCTCAGGGAATATCTCATATTCGTTTTCTTTAATTTTTTTATTAGATTGCTCAAATCTATGATATTTGATCGATACCATAGCGTTCACGATATTCAACCAGCGCATGTACCTATTAAACTGATCCAAGGCCTTAATCTTTTTAAGGGCTTCCTCCTCATCGTTTTCTGTGCTCTTATATTTTTCATTCAGGTCTTCATCTAAAGATCTCTTTTCTCTATATGGAATATGTGGAAAAGTGGGGTCTCTTTTGGTTGTAAACTCTATACCATCTGTGTGTCCATCTTTGGCAGCGTTTTCAAATTTCTTATCTCGGGGAGGTGCCGTGGTTGTCTTTACATCCCATGCACATCGTTTTTGTCGCTGAGACCTTTGATCAGGGTCCGTTGTTGAAAATAAAATATTTGACTTGGAAGATGGTTCCTTTTGATATATCTTTTTGAGGAGGTTTTCAATAGGCACATTTCTGTTACGCTTAGATAATTGGTCATCGTCTTGTGTATGCTCTATGTCGTCCTTGAAATTATCATGTTCGTTCGTACCTTCATCGTTATGAACAGGCTGTTTACCCATATATTTTAATTTTTTAAATAGATCAAACATTACATGAATATCATTTGTTATTTTGTTCACATCTGTAGTGTTTTCCTTGGCCTCGTTCGACCTATGATTTGAGACTTTTTGAAGAGCCTTCATTTTATGAAACCAATTAAATATCACGTTAATCTGAGAGATAATTTCGTTTTGGTGTTCTGTGCTCTTATGTTTTTCATTCAGGTCTTCATCTAAAGATCTCTTTTCTCTATATGGAATATGTGGAAAAGTGGGGTCTCTTTTGGTTGTAAACTCTATACCATCTGTGTGTCCATCTTTGGCAGCGTTTTCAAATTTCTTATCTCGGGGAGGTGCCGTGGTTGTCTTTACATCCCATGCACATCGTTTTTGTCGCTGAGACCTTTGATCAGGGTCCGTTGTTGAAAATAAAATATTTGACTTGGAAGATGGTTCCTTTTGATATATCTTTTTGAGGAGGTTTTCAATAGGCACATTTCTGTTACGCTTAGATAATTGGTCATCGTCTTGTGTATGCTCTATGTCGTCCTTGAAATTATCATGTTCGTTCGTA